TCTGAACTGTCAATCATCTTGTGCGTATGCAAATAAGTCCTTTGGCTTGCTCAGCTTCAGTCATCACACATGTTTTTATCAAAAATCAAAAATGATTAGAAAATTGTTGAATGAAAAAAATTGTAATTTTATTAGCAGCTGTAAACACGGGGATAATATTTTTTTTTAGCCTTACAAGATGGATATCACAGAAAACTACTTGTCCCAAGTGTAGGCAGAAAGTTAACAAACCGATAATCCTGTTTTTGGATGAAGAAGAAAATATTCATGTTGACTCCTCTGAAGAAGACCCTTTGGCCTTAAGAGTAAGTATGAGTATACAAGCATATATAGTCTGTAAAATTATTATTTTGTTTATATATTGAAAAATGATTTTTATTTCTATTGCAGAGCAAGTTGGAACACCTCAAGAGTCTCGTAAAAGATAAAGGTAAATCTTGAATTTCATTACTTTTTCTGCACTTCAATACTGTAATTTTAATCTTATAGTGAAAAGAGTTAAATTACCTCACTTCAAAAATAGAGTTTAATTGGTCCCTACCTTTAGTTAATTCAGAAGTTTTGGTCTGGCTTCTCCGGTTTTTTTCCCTCCACAAAACCTGACTAAATAAGCCTTTTCATAGTTTAAGAATCGATTCCATTGCGCATGCGATTTTATCCCGAATTTTTACCTTCTTATGTCTAAATCTTAATTAAACAAAAGAAGGTGAGAAATTCGGGATAAAATCGCATGCGCAGTGAAATCAATCCTTAAACTATGAAAAGACTTATTCTAATCTAATCTGTGAGTTAGCCATTCTCAGATTTAGATCATCGCAGAAGTTGTTTTAGGGCTCAATCTGTGATTCATCCAAGTCCTGACTTAGATCAATGCAGAAGTTGCAGGGTTTCATTTGTGAGTTAGCTGTACATGTGCCCTGACATAGATCAGCCCAAAGATTGTTTCAAAGTTAAAATGATATTGATGCTTTGTTCAATTTTTTTAAATAGATGTGGAAAAGACACAGTTATTAACAGAAAAAATACAAATACAAGATAGTTTAAACAACCTGAGAGAGAGATATTCAAATGCTGAAAAAAAGCTGTCTTCAGAAAAATCAGTTGTTGCAGCCTTAAAGGTACAGTSTACACTGCAAGCATAAGTCATGCGTTGGGTAGCATGGGTGGCGCTCTGAGTCCAACAGTTCGGGCCGCCGGTTCGAGCCCTGCGGTCGCCACACATGAATTGAGTTTGTTTGATGTGTTGTTCTCTCCTATGCTACGAGGGTTTTCTCCGGGTTCTCCGGTTTGCTCCCTCCGTAAAAATGAACATGTGAGTTGAGCGTTGTGTGCATAGAACACTAAATGCAGTGGTAGTGCGTGTGAGCGAAAAGTGTCCCCAATTAGTGCAAAAGCGCTAGAACAACTAGACACTTAAATGAAGTGATTTTTATGAGTTAATTACAATTTTGAACACAAATATTTTGTGATTTGTCATTAATTTTCTTATATGAGTGCAGCCATGTTGGTTAACAGGTGAAATTGGATAGATAGCTTGCACTTCTAGGTCACGTGACCCTACCCCCTTGAAATGAGCATTTGTGACAAAACAAACACCAGAAATGAAAACAGCACATCAATAATAGTTCCAGCAAAGTTTCAACTTATAAATTATAAGATGAAACTTTGCTGTCTTGCTATTATTGATGTGCTAATAATGGTATTATAAACTATAAAAGAAATGGCATTAAATATAAAATTGATTGTTTTATACAGAATTGTATCCAAAAAGTGTAGGCATATTTCCTCATGTTTAATGATATTACTCCTGTTTCACTCATTATTAGCTTAAAATCTACTACTAAAGCCGAGGTGGTCTTTTCATTTCTGCTTTTCATTTTGATATACAGTAGCTGCTTGTTTAAGGGGTAAGGGTCACGTGACCAAGCATAAAGAGAATCTTTTTTTCTTCCATCTAACATAGCAACCCAAAGGTGACCATGCAAAACCTCTATTGACTTCCAATGTTAATTTTTTTTCAGAAGCAAATGGTTTTCTTAAAAAAGCAAGAAATGGAAGTAGCAGAAGCAAAGAAAGAAGCAATGACTTCAAGACAAGAATTGAAAAAATATGAAAGGTGTGCTTGAGTCCTGGAAGGGGGGGTACTCTTGGTACTCTCATCCCATCACTAGTGACTTTGAACATTTTGCTAATGAGAACAAAACTTACTAGCAAGGTTTTGCTAGTGGGTTTAAAAGTTAATTTCGTGCCCTGCAGCACCCTTACCTCTGACCTCATTTATTATAACTTACTGTTCTATGTATATTATTTCGTATTTGTCACCAGACTCAAAGTTCTTGTGGAGGGGAACAAAGATGATGCTGAAGCAATGCTTAATGGGCTCAGAGATGAGGGAAGGGCATCCCAGGAGATGGTGACGCAGTTGATTATCCTTAAAAAGTATGGAATCTTGAATAGACCACTTTCAAAGCTATTGTAGAAGTGGGGTTAACCAGTAAATACGAAAGAAAACTCCCTTTTTTGTTGGAATTTGTGACCTTTCTTTTCATAAAAACCTTTAAATTTTATTAATACCCTGAAACAATCTCTGGGTTGGTATCATCTCTCATGTACTACTTTTTCGTGGGATTGTACCAGCTCACTAGATACACAGTGCTGACGAGGCCCAATACAGGCCGAAACAGCTGTCCACGGTTTCTAGTTGAGCTTGCTCATTTTTTTCGTGACTTGAAGTTGTGAAAGGCTTGCATGGCACTCTTCTTCAGTTGTTTCATCTAAGGCTCGTAATTTACCTATTATGCATGTTCTTAGATAGAATTGAGGTTTACTGTACCTTAATTGTTAGATTTTGTTTTTTCAATCTCGAGGGAGCTCAGTTTGGAGAACAGAAAGAGAGTTAACTTTTATGTATGTTTCTTTTAAGGGAACTTGAAAAGATAAGAGAAAGTAGAAACAAGGCAAGAGAAAATAAAGAGAAATATGAACGGGAAATAAGTCGACTAAAACATGAGGTAAATAGATGTTAAGGATGGTGACAAATAATTATAGCGCACAAACTTACTGCGCATATATACATCAAGGAATCAAGTTTCCTATAATTTAGGAAATAGATCTCTTTACCTTGGGCGTAATGTTTTCCCATTTCAGACCATGTGTCATTCTCTTGAGAATAAGATTATTTGTTTGAGTTGTATCTATGTTCATGTGTCTTCTCATTGGCAACCGTTAAATAATGGTAATTGAACTGAATGGAGTGCAATTTGGTCTGAAACAGGAAAACATTGCTCTTAATACAGAGGTCTATTTGGTTCTGTCACATGTAAATAGCAAACATCAATGTGGCCCGAGTTCGAGTCCTGCCGATCTCAATGTCATGTGAGTAGAGTTGTTTGTTGGTTCTCTCATGTGCTTCGAGGGTTTTTCTCCGGGTCCTCTGGTTTTCCTCCCTCCTCAAAAATCAACTACTAAATTCTAATTTGATCTTTGGGCTTTCACATAGTTTGTCCCACACTGTGATACAACAGCTAAAAGCAAGTAGATTTAGATTTTTTTTAAAAAACCTTATGTTAGTATATATTATGATAGCTATGATGATTCAGGAGCTTCCTGGATGATTGTAGACTTTCATGCAACATATAAGTAAACATCTAATTGATCATTTCAGCTTTCTACGAAAGAAATTGAAATCCAGAAAACGAGTGAGCAGTTGAATTTAACGGAGAGTGATTTAATGAGAATAGAGAAGGAGAATGCTGTAAGTAATGATGATGATAACGATGATGGTGATAATGATGATTATGATGATAATGATGGTGATGATGATGATGATGATGGTGGTAATGATGATTGAAATGGTGATGTTGATGATGATGGTGATGATGATAATGTTGATGATGATGATAAATATGCTGTTGATGATAGTGGTAGTGATGATGATGGTGGTGATGATGATGATAGTGGTGATGATGATTACTGTTTAATTGATAATGATATTAATGCCGATGATAATGATCTTAATCTTAGTTATAGCAACTACATAATGTAGTATTATATCTCTCTTATCACACAGAGTTTAAGGAAAAAGATGTCGAAATTAGAACAAGCATTCAACTCACCTAGCCCACGTAGCAGTGCAATAACAAGACTTATGTTGGAAAGGTAACGATATATTCAGGCCTATGATTATTTTGATCCACACACCAATCTATCCATCCATCCATCCATTCTTCCACCCAGCATTCTCTCCCATTATATCCATCCATGCACCCATACATCTACTGGTTCATTCATCTCTTCTTCTGCCTAGCATTCTCTCCCATCTATCCATCATCTGTCCATCCAACCATCTGTCTATCCATCCATCCTTCCTCCATCCATTCATCCATCCATCCATCCATCCATCCATCCATCCATCCATCCATCCATCCATCCATCCATCCATCCATCCATCCATTTATCACATCCTACCTACCTACCATCCTTACATCTACCAACCATTAATATACATCCATTCATCCCATGCATCTATTCATCCCAGCCAGTCACTCATCCATCCATTTATCCATGCATCCCATCTATACACCCCATCAGCACATTCACCATCCATCTACCAAACCATCCCTCCCATCTGCCCATCCAACTATCAAACTCTTAATATTTTAAATATCTTTTTTCATTTTCAGTCCTGCACCACTAGAATTAAAACGGCCTCGCCTAACCCCACCTGAGGAAGATCTTGAACATGATTTTCTGGCAAAAAGTGATTATTCAAGGTCCCAAGAATCTGGGAGGGGGAATGAAACAGAAATGGAAACAGCTGCACGAGAGTAAGTAGATGAACAATTTTTGTATCAAACATTTTCCTTTTCTGTTGCTTTCTTTCTTTCTTTCTTTCTTTCCTCCCTCCCTCCCTCCTTCCCCCTTCCTCCCTTCCTTCCTTCCTTCCTTCCTTCCTTCCTTTCTTCCTTCCTTCCTTCCTTTCTTTCTTTGCTTCCTCCCATTTTTCGTCTTCCTTCTCTTTCTCACTCTCACTCTCCCTCTTTTCTCATTCTTATTTCTTTTTTTATTTAAGAATGGGCCTCCAACTGGTCAAGACAACAACATTCAACACCACCACATCAAAACCGACCATCCATCGTCATCCCTTGAAGCCCATCCAACCTCGTAAAAGACCCGCAGACTTCGACTCCGGGCCCTCATTCATCAGAAAAGGATATGATGGTATGGGAGGTCACGCGAAATTCCTAAAACCATCCAAGTTGACCAAAGGTCCTGCACGTAAAGTAGCTCGTCCCAATAACATATCTAAATTCATAAAAACTACAAAAGACGGTAAAGAACCCCCTTTGCCAGCGATGACTTTGGATTTTGACTGATTAAAGAGTACTGAGAGAATAGGGAAAGTATGGTACAATTTTCCAGGAACTTCTCCCTGATGCCCAGGAATTCCAGTTACTTTTGACTGTACACTCTCATGACTTCCAGTTAACTTACCCCCTTAATTTCTTGGTGCCCTCCGAGGGAAAGGGAAATGAATGGTACTATGATTTTCCAGGAACTTCTGCCCGACGTCCAGGAAGTGCGGTCACTTTTGGGCCTATACTCATGATTTCCAGTTATAACGTACCCCCTTAATTTCTTGATGCCCTCCGAGGGAAAGGGAAACGTATGGTACTCTATGATTTTCCAGGAACTTCTTCTCGACGTCCAGGAATTGCGGTTAATTTTCAACTCTACACTTTCACATGACTTCTAGTTAACTTACCTGCAAAGTTTTCTGATTAGTCCTCAGCAGAAAGAGTTCATAACTCAAATGGAAATCCCTTTAATCAACAACTTCCGAAATATTGCTGTAGAAACATTTCACCTTCGATCTTTTTCTTATTGTCAAACTTGCGCAATTTCGTGGCTCATACAATTTTTCTGAATCCAGATGAATGCACTACCCTGCGAAGAAAAAGTTCTATTTTACATTCGTCACTTTTTCGTCACATTTCCGTCAAACTTTCGTCACAGTTCCGTCAAACTTTCTTCATAGTTCCTTCAAACTTTCGTCACAGTTCCGTCAAAAGTTCGTCAAAGTTCCGGCAAACTTTCGTCACAGTCCCGACACATTTTCGTAACATTTTCGTCTCCCTTTGATCACGAGAGCATGGAATGCATCAAATATTGAGAAATTACCCTTACTAATCCACCATATTTATCGTTAAAAATTTAGGCAGTAATCATATTTTTGTTTGTAAATAAAGATGTTTATTATAAACTATTTAAAATTATCAGATTATGTGTCCGAAATATATTATATATCTATCATAAATATTTACATTTTTGTTGCGAAAAGAAGAGATAACTAGCTAAAAACTAGTATGAGCTGCGTCGGCGTTTCTAATGAAACAGTAATGATAAAAAGGTAAATTATACACCATGAAAAGATGAAAAAATGTAAAAACTTACTAAAGTAAGTTTAGAGAGAATAAGAGAAAAATATCAAATGCCCTTGGCGGAAAATCGACCCCACGTCTTCGGTATTCTAGTCCGAAGACGTGGGTTCGATTCCCGCCAAGGGCATTTGATATTTTTCTCTTATTCTCTCTATTTCATTACACACACCAAACGCATAATTTATCACTACTTTAAAGCAAATTTAGTAAGTTTTTTCATCTTTTCACGGTGTAAAATTTACCCTTTTATCATTACTGTTACATTTTATTGCGATAATTGACTGATTTTAATCCATAATATTGATAGGGAACCCATTGTAAAGTCCGTCTTTTATGTTTGTAATTCTGAATCCAAAGTCGTCTCAGTAACTTCTTTTTTTTTGATATTTCAAGCCTAGAAAGATAGACCAGAACCCAGATTGAAAAGTACGTCATTCATGTTGGTCAAACTGAAACCAAGTTTACTTTTCCAATCGATGAAAGGCTATTGAAGTAATCTCGTTTGCAACTGCATTGCAGGTCTTTAAAACTGAATTCCAGTTGGTATTGCAGTGTATATTGAGGTTGATTTATGGAACATGTTTACAAGATGGAAACTATTTCGTCCACTCAAACAGTCCCACAATGCACTGCAATGCCAACTCGACCGAGTCTTTTTCTTAACCCCAGAATGGGTAATAGAGGCCTATTTTCTTTCTCAGTCACTACAAACAATAAGATATCACTAACAAATTCAACTGCTTCTTTACAAAGCTATATACAATGCATTTTTAAAAGTACATATATACTTTAAAAAATGTAGACATGAGCTAAACTAAGAGACCACGAAGGTCTATTAGCTAAATTAGGCCCTTTGCAGCTGAGCAATCACGTGCTGATTAATTCACTGAGAGCAAATGACTCAACATCTTGATTCCCATGGGTGAAATATACGTGGTGAGCAAACAAACTTTCTACAACCTGTTTCGAGAGATCGTAATAAAACTACATTTCGTAACACACTGGATACACATGTTTTCATTCAGTTCTTTACAAGTAGCTAAAAAGAATCACCAATTTAATATAAAAACAAAAATTTTGCATTCCAGTACAGACACGTGACCGTGAACTGCAAAGGGCCTATTTAGTCAAATCCAACTAGCAGTCAATCATCAATGCTGCATTTTAATTGGACGAGCTACTACTAGGCTATAAGCAATAGCCTACTAGACTAGTAGCGAAAAGTGACGGCTTTGAAAAGTTTGCATCTATATATTTGACTGACAAGTTGAATTTGACTAAAATAATTAGTCCTCATGGCCTATGTATGAGTCAATAGCCCATTCAGCCATATTGACTCATAGCCTCGATGACTAATTGCTAAATATATATTTTATTAGGTACTGTTTACTGATACTCGAACCGTGATGAAACATTGCTCTTTGATTTTCGTTCATCAGGTGTATTTTATCGTATTATTTCTTCCTTTCTTTGAGTCATCTACAAGCAATTATCAAAAGGGCCATTTTTTTGGCTTTTTTTCCTTCTCCTGTGTTCCGAAGATTTGCTTTGGGTTCTCTGGTTTTTCTGTCTCCCCAAAAATCCACGTTAAACTTCCAATTCCATCAGGAAACGAGTGTTGTAGGCTTGCAAGTTTGACACTCGTTGAGTACTGCCCTCAGAAAGCTAGGACTATTTCTTACTTTATAATACACTCTACAAAATTACTCAATTTGTCCACGAGTTCCTACTCTTTCTGATTGGGCAAGAGGAGTATAATTAAATCCCAAATTGGACTCTGTAGAGTCCCAATTAAGGCTCAATTTTTTGAGTGTATTATAAACAAAAAATCGCATAATCTTCTCGTACAATGCGGAATTTATACATACTCGTGATGTTTTGAAAGTCCTCAAATTGAACTCGCCTAAAGGCTCGTCCAATTTTGAAAACTTTCAAAACATCACTCGTACCTATGAATTCCGAATCGTACTCGAGATCGTGCGATTTCCTATACAAATAATACTTTTTCTTTATGGAATTTTAGAAGCGGTTCCAGGATTTTTACCAGGGGGATTCGATTGGGCTTACCAAAACCTAAAAAAAGTCCCAAAGTTAAAAGGAATCAGAGTTTGTGATTCCAATTTGTACTTAGCTGCTTTGAGCAGACACAGAATTCGTCCCTCTGTTTGCGATTCGTAACTCCGCGCGGACGAACTCATTGGTGTTCATTTCCGAGTGGAATAAGATTATGAATATTTTGGGTCCAAAAATGCACCCCAGAAGACCGTACGAAGCCAACGAGGCTGTAGCACTTGAAATAACAGCCACGTACCAACCCTTTAGGGCAGAGTTAATCGGAAAATACGCCAACCAAGATAGTAGAAGAATATACAACGATAACCCAATGTATCTGGTCTCGTTGAAGTTTCCAGGTAAATTCCTGGCCTTAAATGAGTAGAATATACACATGACTGTTAATAGAATTAGGTAACATAGGCTTGAGAGCTCAAGTCCGTAGCCTGTGTTCCCCTGGTAAGGCTTGCAAATGTATTCCACTCGGGTTTCATGAGGGAGTTCATTGTACTCCTTCACGACGTGAGGTTCATCTAGGACTCTCCATAGTATTGCCAGTAGAACAGGACAAGTGTTCAAGAAAACCAAAGTGATGACTTGGAGTTTCGCATTCACTACAGATCGCTTGCAGAATTTAGGAAGTCCTGGCATTTCCAACTGGAACGCTCGAGCCATACGTACTGTTTTGATAAAGAGGATTGACACACTTAGGCAGTGTATCGAATAGCGCCATGGCTGGGTAAGCTTGCAAATGCTGTTTGTTGGTAGCGTAACGTGGACGATGGCCAGAGCAAAGCCGAACACGATGATGGCCAAGAGGAAAAAGCTGAGCTCTCGGTTGGATGATTTGACTAGGGGTGTGTGGTAGAACTTTATGAAGAGCAAAAGTGATACAATTGCTAAGAGTATTCCAATGCCTGTAGCGAAAAAATAAAAGTATATACCGATATATGGGTATCATAGATAAACTAGATATTATCAACGGAATATAAACTAGAGATGTTTAGGTTTTTATAAGTAAAAATAAAAAATAAAGATGACTGCTTTTTTGCAACGGATGGATGGATAGATGGATGGATTGGTGGGTGGATGGATGGATGGATGGATGGATGGATGGATGGATGGGTGGATCGATGGATGGATCGATGGATGGTTGGTTGGATGGATGGATGGTGAGTAAGTGGATGGATTGATGGATGGGTGGATCGATCGATGGTTGGTTGGATGGTGAGTAAGTGGATGGATGGGTGGATCGATCGATGGTTGGTTGGATGGATGGATGGTGAGTAAGTGGATGGGTGGATCGATCGATGGTTGGATGGATGGATGGATGGTGAGTAAGTGGATGGATGGATGGATGGATGGATTGATGGATGGATGAGTAGATGTATGTAATATAATCACGTACAATAGTGAATATTTTGATAGATGCATGGACGGGTCGATAAATGCATATTGGAGGGAAGAATGGGTGAAAGAGCGGATGGATAGATGAACAGGTGCTCGGATACCAAAATGGATAGAAGAAAGGATGAATGCATTTGTGGACGAATGGATGCATGGGCAGGCTGAAACGATAGATGAATGGATGGATGGAACGGTGAGTAAATGGATGGATCAGTGGCGGATCCGTGGTGGTTTCTTAGATTCCATAATTGAACCCCCCTTAGTTTGTGAGATCTTGTGAAGCTAATCATGTTCTTTGCCGGCGCTCAGTAGAATGGATTACTCCAGTTTCGAGTTCTCTTTGCTCAGCCTTAGTCTCGTTTGTGCGTTAAAATATTCAGCTATTCAACTAAAACCCGTGGCATAATAATAATAATAATAATAAATTTCGTATCTCCAAGCGCCCATGTAATATTCTGTTTATTATATAATTATCCATAAAATCAACTTAATAACTTTTTTGTTATTATAAAAAGTTTTTATTTATAAACCAATAGCCTGAATACACTTGATAACGACATTTTCACATGTGAAATCAGTTTTTCGAAAAGGAGTGATATATAAGGTATTTTATGGATAAGTATATGATAATAACCTTTATTTATGTGTCATAAATATCTAGCTTACATTATAGTAGGCTAATTGGGGGACACCTTTCTAAAGTTAAGCAAATATACATAATATAAAAATATATCATATATCATATACGATGCGGTTTTCACGCAGAACTCCGAACCGCCAGCCTCAAGAGAGGAGAGGAGAGCCCGGAAAGACCGCTAACACGACCATCCGGCCTACACCCGCCCAAGCAAACCATTTTAATCAGCTCGTATTAGTCCGTAGTGCGTACATTCCTTACTATATAATGGGCCTTAATAAAAGAAAAGAACATTTGTACACAATCGAGGCTAAGACTGAGCAAAGGCGAACTCGAAATGGGAGTATTGGAACTCCCTCTTTTGCGATGGCAATTTTACCAGCTTTTTCTCAGAGAGGCTACCATTTTGAAATCCCCATCTTTAAAATCGTGGATTCGCCACTGGATTAATGCATACCTGGAGGCATTAAGGCGCTATTACACGGAGCAATTTTCCTTGCAACTTGTCTCGCAACGGCGTTGCGACACAAGTTGCATGGAGCATTGCAGCGTGTAAATTACAGCGCAATTTGTAAAATGTTGCGAGACAAGTTGCAGCAATCGTTGCGAAAAGTAGAATTCGTTTCTACTTTTGGCAACGATTGCGTCTCCGTTGCACCGTGTAGACACTCTTGAAACTTATGTCACAACGCTGTTGCGAGGCAAGTTGCAGAGAAAATTGCTCCGTGTAATCGCGCCTTTAATAAATGAATGCCCACGACAACTCGGTAATCAATACAAGTAAATTAATGTCTCATCATACCTGCAATGGTTGTAAAGATGATACCCACGGAGCTCGAAAACTTCACATTAACAACAGTCACTTCAATACAAGCCGTCTTCATRCCATTGGGTACCAAAACTCCATTACATCTCTTGCATTGTGGTGCATCGTATAAATTACTGACACTGCTGTTGTCACACGGCATGCACTCCCAACAACAGTTCTTCATTCGCGTACGCCATGTACCCGGAGAACACCTCTCCGTACAAATGGACGACGGTGCTTCTTTCTCAGGCACAGACCACTTGATAAGACTAGCGTTGATCTGTAATCCGCCATTGATGCCCCACGTGCCAATTGTAGTCTTCATGAAAGAACCTGATTGGTTGTAAATATTGATGATGTCATAGCTAGATGACTTGGGATTTCCGCTTCCGTCAAACCAGACTTGCCCTGTAATACCTCGTACAGTTACATTTCTGATGTAATCAACGAGGTCTTCTGACTTGATGAATGGACGAGTCTTAGGACATTGGCGAATACTCTCGTTACATCTATACATAGCATCTATTGCATGTGCAATGGCTTTAACTGCGTCAACGACGTATGGAGTGAACGGATTGAAAAGATTTTTCAGTGTGCTTGTCGAAAGTTTTAGATTTCTCTTACTGCATTGTGGCAAATAAGGTTTAGAAGACGAGGAAGTACAGTTGAATTCTTCTTCAAGGAACTCATCCCACCAACCGTGACGCTTTCCTAACAATGGCAGCGAACTCATGTACCGAGACAACGATGAATCATTATGAAGGTGATGAGCAACACCAAGGAACACCCCTTTTACCTTGTTGGTAAACTCCTTGAAATAATAATCGTTCGAAGATGTTGCGAAATCATCACTCAGGATCCACACTTTATCATGAAGACCTGCATTCATTGCCTTCTTTATAAACTCCACCGACTGATGGCTATTTGCCCAAAGGACTATTACGCGCACTCGTTTACGTTTCAATAACGTCTCGATTATATTTTCCATCTTTGTCTCAAAACTTGAACGAGGAAGATACTGAATCAATCCTGTACAAAAGGTCTTTCTTTTTTGGGCTTCATTTTCCAGGGCCCGGACTCCGTATCGACCATATGAATGATCCACGGCAACAACAGCGATGTAATTCCAGTTAAAACGCTCAATTAGATCAGCCATGGCTTTAGCCTGCAGGCCGTCTGGAGGCACCGTACGGAAAAACGCGCTGTAGTACGATGAGCTCAGTTGCTCGCTAGTAGAGAACGGACTGACTAAAGGAATGTTCACTACTTGAAGTAGTTGTGCCACAAGTACGGTTGTGTCTGAATCATAAGCACCTACCACGGATACGATGGGGGATTCAAGAATTTTGGAGCTATTTGGCGAAGAGGAAGCCCTTCCATGATAATGATTAGCGTACTGACTTTGATTCCCACAAAGACCTAAATCAAAATTGACCATGAAGTTGTTCTTCACAAACTCATGTGTCCACTTCATCGCCAATGTAGGACTTTCGCAGTAATCCCGTATATCGTACCCTAGAGTGACCCCGGGTAGAATGTCCGAGCTGTTATTGATAATATCGATCGCATAAATCATAGTTTCTGCGAAACCAAGGCCAAAGACGTTCAGCTTGCCGCACGTTGTGTCTTCTCCGCTGTTGTGTATTGACAGCAACGCTCCAAGAATGACGTCTCCTTTTTTGTAAAGTCTGTGACTGTTTCCCACTGTGGTTGTTGCCACAATACTGACAGCCAGGCAGATGAAAACTTGCTTGAGTGAAGTCATAGTGCATGTGCAGCTTAACTTTCTAGTTTAAGAAATTGTTTTTGATGGATTCTGCAACAGAGATAGTCAGAACTCAGTATTTTAGAAATCAAGGGTGGTGTGGTGGGGTTAAAAATCAGCCAAGAGGTTGTTTCAGGGTTCAATCTGTGCGTTAGCCATGCCTTGACTTAGATTAGCCCAGAGGTTGTTTAAGAGTTCCATCTGTGATTTAGCCATGCCCTGACTTAGATCAGCCCAGAGGTTGTTTCAGGGTTCGATCTGTGAGTTAGCCGTGCCCTGACTTAGATCAGCTCAGAGATTGTTTCAGGGTTCGATCTGTGAGTTAGCCATGCCCTGATTTAGATCAGCCCAGAGGTTGTTTCAGGGTTCGATCTGTGAGTTAGCCGTGCCCTGACTTAGATCAGCCCAGAGGTTGTTTAAGAGTTCCATGGTGAGTTAGCCGTGCCCTGACTTAGATCAGCCCAGAGATTGTTTAAGAGTTCCATGTGTGAGTTAGCTGTGCCCAGAATCTTAAGATTGAGCGATTTGGACTTGATTGCATGACGAATGTTAGATGTGTTGGTTCGTGTTATAGTTGAGTCTTCAGAAAGACAGTTGTTTACAGTCTATGGAGACTTGACTACCTTAACAATAATCGGAGACGAGTACAAATTTCTTGAAAGCAGCTTTGCGCACAAAAGAGGAAGTGTAAAAGTGGCGGCAAAGATGAAACAGTTGATGGCTTTTCCTATATTATGCTCATAACAATTATAAAAGAAAAATTAATGGAAACGTTTTTAATGTTAAAGTCTAGCCGGGAACCCGCAAATGTTTTTTTTTTTTTTTCACTTAAGAAAGAAAAGATCCGCGAGATTCTTTTGGAGGGATTGACTTTGACCCGTTAAAAATAACCTAAAATGATTTAAGAGTAATAGTCAGTGCGTAATAGGATATTTCTCTAAATCCGTCTAGCAGACATTAATAAGCATTTTTAGTAATTCAATAGACCCCTTGCATTGAATTCCTAGAGGAATAGTCCCCTTCACAGTTCTCTGGGCCAGCTTGGTTTTGCCTTTGCATCGAAGTGAGACGTGAGTTTGCAATGATAGAGACATGTGAATAATTGTCCAAGGTGTTAATGAAAAGGTCTTGCAAGCTCACTATTTCCCTCGCTTCGATGCAAAGGCACAGCTACCTTTTAAGATGGCAAGGGAACTGTGAAAGGGACTAATTTTCAAAAACAGTCATACCTAAATCCTACCACAGGTTTCATTGCATCCTAGCAGATGAATAATAGGCGTTTTAGGATTTTCTCAAATTGTTTTTATACAAGTTTTAGACAGTGAAGAAAATTACTACTAAGCAAAGTAATAATAATCAAGGGAATGACACGCGGTCTGAAATCGGAAACATTTTGTCCAAACTAAAGAGGTACGTTCTAGAAAATAGTAATAGGCATTTTAGGATTTTCGCAAATTGTTTTTATACAAGTTTTAGACAGTGAAGAAAATTACTACTAGGCAAAGTAATAACAATCAAGGGAATGACACGCGGTATGAAATCGGAAACATTTTGTCCAAACGAAAGAGGTGCGTTCTAGAAGATACTAATAGGCATTTTAGGATTTTCGCAAATTGTTTTTATACGAGTATTAGACAGTGAAGAAAATTACTACTAGGCAAAGAAATAATAATCAAGGGAATGACACGCGGTATGAAATCGGAAACAGTTTGCCCAAACGAAAGAGGTGCGTTCTAGAAGATACTAATAGGCATTTTAGGATTTTCGCAAATTGTTTTTATACAAGTTTTAGACAGTGAAGAAAATTACTACTAGGCAAAGAAATGATAATCAAGGGAATGACACGCGGTATGAAATCGGAAATGTGTTGCCTAAGTTAAAGAGGTCTAATTTCTATTAACAAATTAAAGTACACACCGCACCAATAAGCGAAATATCGGAACATAGGAATAAAATGCATGGCCCAAGAAAAACAGAAGAAGAAGAAATAAAAGCTTAAAAGGATAGTTAAAATAGTTATTAAAAATKGTAGCCAAATGAAATATTTAATCTAGCAATGAGAAAAATGGCACTACTGGTTGAAATGAGACAACATTGAGACAAATAAAAGCATCGCTCAGCGATCAGTCGTTTGCATCATTTGAGGGGTGTTTTCCAACGTTTAAATCTCAAAATTTCCTTAAAATCGTTTTCAAAATTAGATTTCGTTCCTACCGGTTAATATGAAGAAACTCCTTTAAAACAATTTTAACGAAGCTCTTATTACGACACTTTCATTCCTGCTTGTCAGATCAAGGTAAAAAAGACAAATTTCTCATTTCCCATTCCGGAAACATTGAAAAAGACCCCGGGCTATTGAAATGTCTTGTTACTATCGATCCAAACATTGATCGTTAGTGAATAAATCAAAAGCATGAATTATTAAGGCTCCTTTTAAAACTCGCTCATTTACGCCGATTTTGGCGCTTATCTTTTTTCTGAATGAATATCAAAAAAGCCCAGAATATTTCGTAATCGGATTTCAGTTTGAAGTGGAATTTACAGAGTCGTGGTTTTTCATCCACTTTGATTCCAATGAGCTTTCAATATTTTCTTCCAAAACTCACAAGACAGAATAATAATAACCATAGCTCAAAAGAACATGTTGAAATCAGTAAAACTTAAGTTAAGAAGATTAAGTTTGAAGAAAGTAAGTAAATTGTACGAAAAGCATTTATTGGAGTAATCTCTTGCCTCCAGCAAAGGTTATCATACAAAATTTACATTTTCAAAAATCGTATCTTCATGAATTTTGAACTTTGGCAAGCTCTTTTTATTATCTTTCTGTTTTATGAATTTAAAAACATTTTAGCTTTGTTAGAACACGGGCAATATAATAATTTTTGAGTTCAATTTGTTATTATTTTATTTCAATATGATGTCAAGTATTTTTGAAAGTATGTCCTAAGGTAGTGCTCATCCATGTCGTAGCACCTTTTGTTTTATTTTTACTTGTGTTGATTAAGAAAATCGAAAATATTTGGTATAAGAATATTATATTTTGAATACCAGCAGAACTTTCAAATGGTTTCCGATGCTATAACCAATCAAAATGGACTTTCAATATGCTATCCAATCACGTTGCGTTATGTTAGTTATTTTGTTAGATTCATAGTAAGGTATATTCGTCTTTTATTTCGTGCAAAGTGGGCTTAATTTGAAACTTAGACTGCAGAAAATAAATATAATAATCTATAAATAAATAAACTAAATACCCTAAATATTATGTCCCAAAAAGGAATGGATTTCCTTATATTTTTTTGTGCTGGAAAAAAGGAGGTTTCATGCTTTAGGAATGCATGAGATGAAAATTAATTACCAACATTGGATTTCCCCAAGGTTCATCACTAGGACCAGAATATAGATAATTATATTTAAAATTGTCATAGCTAAGTTAGTAGAGTTGCTTGTTGGCTTTCTATCAGACTCCTGTGCTTTGAGGGTTTTTCGCTGCGTTCTCTGGTTTTCCTCCCTCCGCAAAAGAGATCTAAATTCAATTCGATCATGGAACGATGGCTGCAGGTTTGTTCGCCACCGGCTGTTAAGTGCTTCCCTCATAAGACTAAGAAAATATTATTATTGATCAATAGGGAATGTGCCAATGTGCACGAGCACGAATCTCTAGCACAAAGCATGATTGGAAACCGAGTGCTTCACAAATCAGAACAAAGAAATCAATAGAATTATCACGAAAGAATTACTGTTTTATTTTCATCTGTTGAAATACTTACTGTTTCATAGGAAATGTCGAAGGAAAAGTTATCAGAGGAATTTGTAGAGTTTCCCATCATGTTTTGTGCTAGAGATTCAGTGCTCGTGCACAATGGCAATTGAATGTAATTCGGATATTGATTGATAGTGTTTTGAGCCATCTAATGCACAAAACACACCTGAAAACGGTACAACAAACACTTGTTTTCGTTTAGGCGCAATGCTTTTCAGTGAAATTCTTTTTTATTTATATTGTTAATAATAATAAATATGTTCTTATATTTAGATCTTATTAACCGAGCGGGAGGTCTGTACGGGATAATCTTGACCTGGGTCGGAATGTACAGACCGAGCGCAGCGAGGTCTGTACCCGATCGAGGTCAAGATTATCCCGTACAGACCGACCAAGCTCGGTTGATAAGAGTTTTATTATATGACCACTTTTCATTGAAAAGGACAAAATRTTTTCGCCGTAAGATTAATATGCGATCGGACCGGTTAATACCGAAGAATCTAGACCAGTCCGMGATGCGATCTATCCAATCAGATTGCTCGATTTGCTAGTGTCCAGGCTCTAAGATTCACGCGGGTCATATAATAAAGCGTATTATAGATTCTCAATGCGCTTTACAAATATTACGATGAAATGTTAAGCGAAAAAATAGATTAAAGTTACAAATTGAACAAAAACGTTTTTAGTTTTCTCTTGAATATTTCCAAAGACTGCGATGTTTTTATATCTGGTGGTAAACGGTTCCATAGTCTGGGCGCTGCTACGGCAAACCTACGCGCACCCAATGACTTAGTACGATATGGAGATTGTTTTAAAATTACTCCTTGTGTGGCACTCCTTAGCTTACGAGTAGGTTGGTGTATTTTGAGAATATCACATATATAGGATGGAGCGATACCGTTTATAGCTTTGTATGTGACCGTTAAAAGCTTATATTCAATATTTGTTTAGAAAAAGCTTCTGAGACATCTTAAAGAAAGAAGGCCTCATTAGAGCCGCAGGGCCGTATCCACCGGTACGGTTGGTACTTTCGAGGAAAAAATATAAGAAAAATAATAGAAAAACTGAAAACCCTCGAAAACCGGACCAATCAGAAATTTGTGGCTACGGCCCTGAGAGGCCAAGTCAAAACATCGCATCTTATACTTGCTTTATCGAAACTTTGTTTTTTATAGATTGCAAAATACTTTTCTTTTACCGTATATTTCAACATGGTTCTTATTCAGTATTTTCATTCATGTTTTTTTCCTTCCTTCCTTTCTTCATTTCTTCCTTATTTTTTCTTTGTTTTYCTTTTTAAAAAGCGAAAAAGTTGGTTCAAACGGGCAAAATATATCTGCATAAATTCAAAAATAAAAAGGTTAATTATTCCGCATATTTTTATTCTTATTATTAGTTTGATAAATTCTATAGTGGCACTAAACATCACAAGCATCTCACATGCATCCATCATCGAAACTTCAACACAGAAATAGATCTAGAAAATAGATATATAAACCAGAAGATTTTTCCGTTTTAAAAATTGTTATCGTATTTTGCAATTCCTCTTGTTCCTCACATATATCACATCATTGAAAGCTTTGTTTTTCCAATTAAAAGGTCGAATGAAATTGTAGATGTTGCTCTATCGTTAGCCTTTGGTTTTTAGCCCGTTTAATGTTCTCAATATCAAATTATAGAGTATTAACTTTATTTTCTATGTATCAACTCTATTTGCTAGGTAGCATTCTTTGGTTGACCTTCAAAAAGCAAAACAATCTAAAGTTCGAATTCCGGTTTGACTTGATGCATCAGTGAAAAAGGCAAAGCTTAAAACAGTGCAACCGAAAAATATTGCTTTTCGGCAGAGATTTCGTTTTCCGCTTCCCCTCTTAAATTAAGTCTTGACATAACTATCTTTGAAGAATTCTTTTCTTTTTTCAAATGTTTCTCCTTTGGGAATCGCAGGATACAGTTACAGTTGGACTTACAGTTTTCCAGACCGTGCAAATGAATCCTTCATTTATCTTATTAAGTGTTGGTACTGCTATTCACCGGAATTCTCTTACCTCTTCAGCCGTTTTAACTCTTGGAAGTCGCAAGATGAGGAACTACGAAAAGGACTCCCTTAGCAGAAGTAGTATCAAGACGTAATAAGCAAACGAAGAATCCTTAAAACAATATTTTGTATATTTATCCCTAACCTTTTGCTTTACTCCTGATCCACGCAGTCGTGTCGAAGAAAACGAATCTATCAACTTAAAACTGGCAGCCTGAGCACAGTGTTAAATACTACTCAGTGCTTGATATTTTTTGTCCTTTTTTGAAGATGGAAAAAAATCCTGACTTTCGATACATAACCATGAAACAAAAATCTATCGACTTCCCATCATTAATAAAGTTAAGCTGAAAACCAAATAAGGTCAGTCTGAGCTAAATTAATTACTGTTGTGATAAAGGAATTATTTTTGATTTTGGCCGGATTTACTTGCCTGACGTGTGCTCTCTTTAGATGTTGGATTTTGGTATCCAATTAGAAAAAGATTCACTTACAGTATCTGAATAAGCGGAGGGCATCAATTCGGCTCAGTGTTGTCTCACTACAAATCATTTGGGAATAGACCCATTCAGTTTGTCTCAATGTTGTCCCATTACAAATCATTTGGGAATAGACCCATTCAGTTTGGCTCAATGTTGTCCCATTACAAATCATTTGGGAATAGACCCATTC